AAGAGTGAAATTGGGAGCCTGGAGCTTGCTAATACTTCCATATTAGAAAAATATATAAATAAGAAGTTTGAGTTTTGTGGGAGTCCCTCCCCCACCTACCAAGGAGAATCAAACTTTGTAAGGATATCTTTGAGATTTCTTGCATCTGCCCACAGCCTTCTTCTGGGGGACTCTTGCTTAACATGCCCCTGGTTCTAACTCCTGCTACAGCTGAGGAGGTCTTTCCTGAGGAGCCAGAGACTACCACTCAGAAGCAAATGGTTTGATTTTGAGTGGGGAGATGGAATGAAGGCAAACCCAGAGAGGAGGAGTTCCATTTCAAGAAAGCAGCTCTTGTCATTTTAACTCTTTTTAAACCTCTTTTCTTTTACCCTAAGTCCAAATTGCTTCTCTTTTCTCAGCATCTATTTCTCCTAATAAATTTCTCAATCTTTAACAAAATCCCAATCCATCTCTCAAATAAATCTGTACAACTCTAAACTCCTATTGAAATAAAATTTTTAAAATGGCAAAATCAGGACCCTCAAGCAAATTCAAAATGTGCATACCAGTGATTGATTGATGGATTTTTATCAGAGAAACTGTAATGTGTTAAAACTGTCCCAAAGAGCATTTGAGAAGCCAGATATTTATAGGCAATATACAAAGGAAAGAATAAGAGTGGTTTTACTTACACAGTTTCACTTGAGCTTCAAGCCTTGAGATACAGATTTTATGCCAGGATTGATCTTTATGACCTTGAATAAACTAAGCTAGTGGTTGGCCTTTTGTATGTCCTAAACAGCCCGTATATCACCTGAATCAATGGGAATGGCCAAGAGGAAGAGCAGTGCTTTGTATCATATGGTGTCCTAAATTCCCAAAATTCTCTGAAAAAGGACCTGGGTCTGAGTTTATGCAGAAATCTATATGGAAATATTATAGAACAAGAGTAGGTTTGTTTCAGATACCTTTCCTTAAAGGAGGAAGAGCCTTCATGTCCCAGACCTCAGTATGGGATATTAAGCCCAGATGGAATATTTTATGCCTAACTGTGGCCTCTGTCACCTGTTATTTGTGCTCTGATTTGTGTTGACCCTTTTTATGTCACCCATATACAAGGAGGCTCGTGGGCAGAAATTACTGGAAAATACCTGATCTGTTTTCTACTGAGAGCTGCAGGAAAAACTTCAATCATACTGTTATAAACAAACAAATATATAAAATGGAATAAATGGGGAGAAGGAAAATCTCTTATGGGAAAATGCCAACTAATAATTATAAAAGGAATGATCTATCATTTGGCAAATTGTTATTTAGCAAACATCATCATTATATTTTTAGGCATGAGTCATCAACGGATGCTAAAACTAATGAGTAGACATTTGAGGAGGAAAGGCTATCTAGATTTTCAACCTATTTCCCCACAAAGTTTCTAATAATTACTAAGGAAAACAGCAACTTTACAGTGAAGAAAGCTGGTTGATAATCTCCTTAATCGACTGATTAAAGTTAGCACCAAGAATAGAAGAAAGAAATCACGTGCCTCTTAACATGATGTACTGAAAAGAACATCACTTCTGTGGCATTTCCGATAAAATGCTTTACTGATTCCAATTCACGAGGAAACAGCAGACACATCCAAGTTGAAGGATACTGTACAAAATAGCATGCACCCTTCAAAAATGTCAAAGTCATAAGAGGCAAAGTAGGACTGAGAAAATCTTCCAGATTGAAGACGATTAGAGATGCTATGGAATCCTGGATTGAATCCGGGGGAACCAAACCAAAACAAAACAACTTTCCATAAAGACATTCATGGCATAATTGGCAATACTTGAATAAGGTAGATTGAGTACAGAAAATTATATCAATATAGTTTCCTGATTTTGATCATTGAATTCATGAAAGAAATAGTCCTTGCTTTTAGGAAATACACACAAGTATTTAGGGGAAAGAACATAATGTCTAACATTTTTCTGTAGGTTTTCTCCTTTTCCTTTCCACTGATTCTTTCTCAGCCACCCCCATCTCCCACCCACTCCTGGTGTTGCTGGAGTGATGTTCACAGAAACCTCAAGCCCATAGGATACAAAAGGGAAAGAAAAAAACCCCTTCTCCCTCCTACAGTCTTCTAGTCTCCCTCTAGCATTCTCTCCCTGTCCCCTGCCTCATTGGTTGGCTGACTGGTCAAGCAGCAATGGGGTTTGCATAGTTTCAGCCCTATTATCAAATCAAAGATAGAAGGGTGGATTTGAAGCTGAGACACAATGCTTTCTTGTATCTTAACCCATCAAGAGTTTTCTAGGATGTGCCCTCATGAGTTCTACTTCACTATAAGAGACTGAGCCTGGGAGAGGGAGCTTCATGCTGCACAGGACTCTGACCTCTGCCCACTCAGAATTCTTAGTGTCATTTTCTTCAAGGGGACATTTTTATCACGTGGGAAGTAAGTCATATGCTTTATACTTTGGGGCTAGAAGTTCCTATAAAATCCTCAGCAAGTTTTTTACAACACCAATATTGGGATCTGTAGTTGAGAAGCAACTATTATGTGCTCCTTCTCCAGGGAAGAACATTTAGAGATTATCTAACTCGCTCCTTCAGACTTTATTGAATGTAAAATACACCCATGATGAATGTCTCTCTCTCCCAACAGCATAACCAGATCTCTCTGAGTTTGACCTTCAGGGCTGAGATGTTTTGTTTGTTTGTTTGTTTATTAGATTATGTGAGCTCTCTGGGGTCTCTGCTCTACTGTCTCTCCTAAGAGCCTTAACTACTGGACAGTACCAGTAGGTCATAACCAACTATGGGCAACACATCAACTTAAATGGAGTCAGGAGGAATGCAGTTTTCTGGGCACCTCCAGTGCATGCTCCCCATGCTCCCATGACTCAGTCTCAGCATGGATGGAGTAATAGAGAAGTATAGAAGAACTGTGGGTTTTATTTCAGACACTTTGCCCTTTCTTTACCCAAATAAATAAAGCAGGAGCTAGAAGAAGTAGGAAATGAAATGTAATGTCTGTCTCCTCCCTTTGTCTCCCGAGGACCTACTCCATGGTTCTCTTGTGATAGGAGTGCTCAGTTGAGTTTTTGAAGGCTGGGGGATGATCTTAGCCTGTACCTGGTCCAGTAATAATTCTCATTGTTGACAATTTTATGATGTAATTATTCTTAAAGGGAGTACAGTTCAAAAGCCTTATAGTGTCTACTTACATAATGGAGTTATTAAACAGCCAAACTCTGCCTTTCACATCCTCCTGCCTCACAATTCTCACTGCATTGGCACTGGTGTGATTTTCTACCAGCTCTTACTAAAAGGAAATACCTCATGGATGGTGCAGTAAAGAGCATTAGGAATATGTTCTCTGAAATGGAGAGAGTTCCCTGCAATTAAGCCTTTCAGTAGGGAGCCTCAGGTGAAAAGGGCAGTGAGAGTAAGACTAATCAGAAAGTCAAGGTAAGCAAATGTGGCAAGAACAAGTTAAACATATGGGCAGGTTTACCACAGGATGCAGATGATCATACAGAAAATGTTAGCTCTCTAGGAAGAAGCCTTATAGTCAGGCTCTCCCATTCATACTTAAGTAGTTTTTTAAGCCTGAGAACCAGTATTTTTGATTACAAAATTTCTCATAGACTTCAATGCATGCATCATCCCTAGTTTAAGTGGTGAAAGTTAGTAATTTTATATTTACTTAATAACTTAAAAAATTCCAGGTTTATATAGAAGACCTGATCGATTCGTGGCCTACTATTAATACTAAAATATTGGAGGTCACTTAAATAGCTCTGTCTCGTTCCAATGAAATGTACTTTCCATTGACTGCACGCTGAGAAATGTAGCAACACTAATGCAGACTCCTTTGGTTACATATGGTGAGAAGCAAACCTTGGCTCATCAATCATTCTTTCCCAGTGGCTTCGAGTAAATGAATGCAGTGCTCTGTCTTAGAAATGACTCCGTCCTAGTTTTCCTGAAACATCAATTTTAAAAAACTCCCTTGTTTGCAGCCAGGAGGACATGCTCATTTAAATGAAGTTGATCTGGGGAGACAGATGGGCATGTCTTAAACCTGGTCTGCCTGGGGCAACAGATACATGCAGCCAGAAATACTGAGAACACAGCAGTATAAATAGGTAATTACAAGACTTAGAAGCTGGGTCAGGTGAGTGCCTGGGTTAACCTGGGACTTCATAGGGAAGATTGAAGAGCTTGTTGGGATGGAGGGAAGGGAATACTAAAAATGGTCTCAATCTGGGTGTGATCTGAGCATCCTACCCTAATGCTTGATTTGATTTTGCTTTGCCCCTCCCTCCAAATCGCAGGTACCACGGAAAGTCTTCGTCACTAATGGGGCGTTACCTCTGCTGAGTAAGAATTAAAGCTGAACGCAGAGGCTGTTCCACAGCATAGTTGAGAAAATGTAGCCTTTTTGGTTTCCTCAGTAATTCAGAGCCTCTTTGAGAAAATTGTGTCTCACCTGAAATCTATACTCTAAGATACAGGGAAAATCTTAAGACTAAATTGTTTTCTACCAGATAGACAGCTCTTTTAATTCTTACACATGTGTACCTAGACCACTGCCAGGTACAATAGATGCTCAGTTAAATCCCAAGGAAAACCTAAAGGAATTATTTCATTAGTGAAGGTGATAGGTGATGGGTAACATGTTTCTGGACTAGTTTTCCACCTGTTTCTGAAAATGCTATCTAGTCCTAAGTGTATTGATGATCAACTGTGTCCTGTCACTTCAATATCTGCAGTCATATTTCCTAAGACAGAGTCCTCAGAATGTGAGGAAGATGGGGAAGCAAAAAGTACCATGAAGGAAACCCTGTCTGAAATGACCGGATTGCTGGATTTTATAAACTTGGTTCTTTGTCCCCACGATAATCAAACATGCCTTTGGGAATAAAGCACATAGGAACCACAGGAAGTATTTAGATGCATTTTATTCAACAATCAGGCAGTGGATATCATGGTGACCTTACAGGATTTCAGAACCTTGGTTCTCAGCAAGGCCCATGTTTTTTAATGAGGACAGGAACCTCCCGCTCCCTGTAGAAAAGATTGGAAAAAAAATTAGTTTAACCTCTGCTGACAAAGTGATGATTGGAAAAAAAAAACATAAAGTTTTTTTTTAAAAAAATGTATTGATTTTAGAGAGAGAGAGAAAGAGAGACAGAGAGAGAGAGAGAGAGAGAGAGAGAGAGAGAGATCAACTTTGTTGTTCCATTGATTTATGCATTTTGTTGTTCCATTGATTTATGCATTCATTGGTTACTTCTTGTATGTGCCCTGATTGGAAATAGAACCCACAATCTTGGTGAGGTACCTGGATTGGTTTGAGATTTATCCTCGTTTCTCTTTCTTTCATTGACTTATTCATTAACTCATCAAATATTGATTGAGAACTATTACATACACTAAGAGTATAGCAGAAGAAAAATAATGTCTGTCCTTGTTCTGGTGGGGGAATTACAGTGAACCTCTGAAATTAATCTTGAATCCCTTGTTGCTTCTTTTGCTCCTGATGTCATTGTCCTGACCACCATGTTTCCTGGTTGGGAAAGTGGGCTCTGCAGGACCTTCTAACTGATTGATCTTTCCCCTTAGAATGCTGGCATTCATATTTGTGAGAACTCACAAAAGGAAGTCATCTCTCTGTCCCATATGATAGCTGCCAGCTCTAAGCATCCTCCCTTCCAGATAAAGAGTTTTCTGCTTCCCCCAGCCCCACACCACCTTTCTCAAACTGGTTTCCTCTTCCCTGAGACAAATATTTATAAATATTTCAATTGTTCCTTGTGAGATTCTTCTATTTCTCTATTACTTGAGGACATCAAACTCATATATCTTTACACATATATTTATCTGAAACCTGCTGATTCTTCATTTTAAGAGTTTTTGATGCTTCCTTGTTCCATAATTATTAACCACTCATAATACTTGTAGCATATACAAGCACAAGCATCTAAACAGAGCGCCCAAGTTCACTTTTCTCTAGCTGTGCTGTCCAGCACACTAGACACTATCCACATGTAGCTATTTAAATTTAAATCAGTTAAAACTAACTGATATTAAACTTCAGTTTTTTGGTTGTATTAGCCACATTTTAAGTGCTAGTGGCAGGGGCTTCCATATTGAATAGCACAGATGTGGAGCATTTCTGTCATTGCAGAAAGTTCTGCTGGAGAGTGCTAAAAAGAATGTGGCAGTACAGAGTCCTGAAGAAGACAAAGAAGAAATAGGAAAAGGACCTCACTGAATATATCTTCCAGGAGCATAAAGATCAAGGAGATAAAAGCCCTTGTTTGTCTCCCGGTCACAAAACCTAACAACTAGGGGTTCAGTTTTTAAGTATACATTTGTCTGGTGCTTTGAATGGACAACACAAAGGCAATATGGTACATTTGAAAGATGTTGCATTTAAGAAAGCTACATTTCTCTGTAGAATTAAAAATACAGGCAGAGAAGTTATATTTTCTGGCAATTAAATGTTCTTCCCATATTTAGATATTTTTAAAATAATGAAAACAGTAAGCAGGGCTGGTGAGTTTTAAAGACTAAGGGAAAAGGGTGAGTGTCGCAGCCCTGTGCTCATGTTTTCCCAATATGTTTCACTCTAAATATTGGGCCTGTCGGTCTTGGCACTTGGAAATTTCCCAAGTCTCAAGGCCGTTCTATTGCTTTCTCCTCCCCTTGGATGGAACATGATGTTTGACCTTAATGTCAACAACGTAGGTCATGAGAAAATTAACAAATGGTTTAAAGTTCCTCTTGAAACTTTTTTTACAATATGTTTTTATTGATTTTAGAAAGAGAGGAAGGGAGGGGAGAGAGAGAAACATTGATTGGTTGCCTTCTGTATGTAACCAGGGATTACACCCAACCACGGATTGCACCCACAACTTGGGTATATGCCCTGACCGGGAATTGAACTGATGACCTTTCAGTGCACAGGACGATGCTCAACCAACTGAGACATACCGGCCAGTGCCTCTTACAAGTCTTTAAAGTGGAAATAAATTCACCACAAAGCCAGCACCCAATGTCTTGGGTTTAAAACTAGGATATTAGATCTGTCTCTCTAAGGACTATTTCCACAATCCTTCTTAAACACTGAGAATTTTCGGAAATGATTTAAAGCAGACTAAGAAGAGGGTTCATGTTATAGGGCAGTGATGGCGAACCTTTTGAGCTCGGCGTGTCAGCATTTTGAAAAACCCTAACTTAACTCTGGTGCCGTGTCACATATAGAAATTTTTTGATATTTGCAACCATAGTAAAACAAAGACTTATATTTTTTGACATTTATTTTATATATTTAAATGCCATTTAACAAAGAAATATCAACCAAAAAAATGAGTTTGTGTGTCACCTCTGACACGCGTGTCATAGGTTCGCCATCACTGTTATAGGGAGCTTATACAGTGGAATAATGGAAATGTATGTAGTCACTTGAGCCTAAATCAATGTTTTAATACCAAATCAGTTTCATGATAACTGAGTCTTCTGGGTCACTTGTGGGATATCTGTTGTTTTGATCATTTTATACCTTTATTTAACCTGAAATACTTTTGTTAGGCTACCAAAATTCAGAGCCCTTGTTGAAATAATATTCCTTTCATGGATCCTTTCTTGACCCTTTCAGTAAGAAGAAATCTGTGTCTTTTCTTCCCTCCTGTAGCAGTTTGCTCATAGCTCATGTGATGACATTTGTCACAAGTTGCAAGAAGCTTCTTTGTGCTCATGACCCATTTTCTCTTATTCATAAGCACAAGAAAAGCAGAGGAGACTAGCACAATGCCTGGCACATGTTAATTGTTCAGAAGCTGGGTAAGATAGAAAATCTATGGCAAATCTATTTCTCTGAGTGCTTGACTTTGTTTCCAATCACTGACTATAATCACTTCAGAAAATGAGCTTCATGGAGACTGGCTCTCAAGTCCATAAATAAAAACGTTACAAAAATATGTTCTGGTCACCTAATCTGTATAATTAATATTTGTGTATTTAAGGTTTTAGTAAACATAATCATTACTATCATCCAGAATGACATTTTAGATTTAAAGGTATTTTGGGTGTATGAGCTTTTCTAAAATCTAGACTATCTACTATTTTGCTGTAAAAGCATGAGTTTTTATCACACAATTGATTTTTTAAATTCATGAACCATTCAAACACCTTTCCTCCTCTCTTTCATTATCCTTAATACATTTTATGTTGTACCACATTATTAATTCCTGTCTCTCTTTTGTTCATTTTCCCCCCTTCTTTATGGCATAAAGAAAGCCTCCAAACATTTCCAAACCCTAGCAGGCATAATTCATTGTTTTTAATTTTCTGCTCTCAAGCATGGTGCTCAGCACTCTGTTAGTGTTGAGTGTAAGTGAATTGAGAGACGAAGCAGGTTGGAATTTCTTCTGTGTCTCACAAATCCTCAGTCTGGTACTTGACTTTGAAGCATGGTGGGAAGAGCAAGGATTAGGTCCTAGCTCTGCATTTATTGCTGGTGATCTCAAGCAAGTTATGTAGAGTAAAACTGAGTTTCAATTTCTCCATGTGTATAATGGGCTTAGTATTATCCTATATAGTAAAAAGGCTAATATGCAAATTGACTAAACGGTGGAACAATGTCGCTATGACGCACACTGACCACCAGGGGGCAGACTCTCAATGCAGGAGCCAAGCTCACGGCTGGTGAGTGCAGCGGTGGTGGCAGGAACCTCTCCTGCCTCCGTGGCAGTGCTAAGGACCCCTTGGAGGATGTCCGCCTGCTGTGGGGAGCGGGCATAAGCTGGCAGGTGGGCATACCCTGAGGGGTCCTGGACTGTGAGAGGGCATAGGCTGAGGACCCCCCCCCCCCCCCCAGTGCACAAATGTCATGCACCGGGCCTCTAGTTTACCTCATAGAGTCTGTGTGACTATTAAGTATCTAGCACAATGCACAACAGTATAAATATTATTTTCTGTCAACACACACACTCAAATATATATATAATCATACCAGATATATAATAATAATAAGAAAAAAAAGATTGAAAATTATGTTTGGAAAACTAGATGTTTTGTTTCTCTCATGGTAAGGTGGATGATATTGATTGGGGCTTCAAAGGGTAAGATATATGAAATTTGAAGATAACCAGCTTAAAATAGATTTTAAAAGAAATTTAAGTTTGTACTCACTTATTTTCCATACATAACATGCATTCATTAGGATAAGTATGCCCATCAGTCCCACAGATGGGGTCATAGATCCTGGGGCATCCATTCACATTACTGTTACATACAGCCTAAAATGGAATTAAGCAGAATCATTTTCCGTTCTTTGAGTTTATAGCAAAATCTCCAAAGTGCTTTTTACCTCCCTGGAGTTGCTTAGCTTAAAGATGGAAGCATGATTGTATAGAGAGAGTGATACTAAGAGAAAGAATTAAAGATTTTGAGTCAGAAAGCCTGGTTTTAAGTAATGCCTATGCTATTTACAAATTGTCTGACATTGGTAAATTTCTTGATGTCTCTGAACCTCAGTCACTTTATCTGCAAAATGGGAATGAAATTATCTCATAATGGTTTTAGGACATTTTAATCAGGTGAGTGAGAGAATGTTCAAGTTTATAGTTACTGCAGCTGCTAGCTCTTCTCAGGTCAGCCACACCTTGGGCATGTTCTTCCTTGCACACTGTAGTCCATTCTCTTAGTCACTAGGTGTCTTCCCCCCTTGGAGTCTTTGCACAGCCTATTTCCTCTATGTCAATAAGAACTAGTAATTATTGAATGACTACTATAGGCCAGAGACTGTCTGAAGTGCTTTTTATTTGTTATTCTATTTAAAAACCCACATCTATTCTATGAACTTTTTATTATACTCTTCTTCTGGTGAAGACAATGAGGCACAAAGATAAACCACCCATGGCCACATAGGTATTAATTCCTGGATCCAGGATTCAAATCCAGTAAATGTAGGTCCTGAGCTTTAGCTTTTAGCCACTTCACTGTACCACAAGCATGTCAAACGAGAGTTTGACATGCTTGCTATACCACTTCTCACCAGTTACACTTTGCTAACACTCATTTATCCTTCGTAGCTCAAAATAAATCTCTCTTACTTAGGGGCACTTTCCCTGATCACTCTAACTAGGCTAGGTTCCTAATGGTACCAGAACTTCTTTAGAACACTCATCAAAAATGTAATAATTTATTTGCTATGTACTTTTGGTTTGTCATCTGTCTCCCTATTAGATATAAATATAATGAGAAGAGGGATACTTCTTCCTTTAAATATAGAGACAGAATATTTTTAGATGTTTGGATATAGAATACCTTTTCTAGAGGAAGAACCTAGTTTATTATATTCCTCTGTTCATTATTAATTAGAGCTCCCTCCACCTTGGAGATCTGGTGCTTTTGGAGTGAAGTTAATAAGGCTTCCACTCAAAAACCTTGTCCTACCAGATAGCCGCTGTATATATAAAAACCCCTTCACAGCAAGCACTATGTGACTACATAGAAACTGGTTGTATATCAGTGTATTTGTCCTTTAACATGAGCCCCTATGGGGAAACTAATGTTGGCATCTGCATGTAGTAGGTTAAGCCTTGCTAGCATTCATACTTCTCATCTTGACTTCAGGCTAAACTGTAAGGTGACCACTAGAGTGTTATTTGATTGGAACAAACAATTCTAACCTGATAAATAAGAGATTACAAATGGTCTTTACCTTTGTTCCTGGGACATCAGCTTTAGCGTTACCTAGAAAACAAGTCAGACATGGGAAATTGGGACCTGAATCGGAGAAGCTAGATCTATTTTATTCAAAATTCTGTGCTTCCTTTGAAAACAGTGACTTCTCTGCTGGCCACTTTCACTCCCCACTCCTTCTTATTTCTATTTTCTCTCAAGGACATCTCATTGGTGTCCACTCACTGCCTGCTTGCTGAAAACTCGAAAATTAAGCAAAAATTTGATTATGACCAAAGTATCTTAATTTGGTATTTCAGAAAAGTTGGCCCATTTCCTTGAAAATAGAAATGATGTGTTTACTGCTTGAAATGTATCAGGCATTGAGCAAATATCTTCTGAATGCTCACTGACATTCCCACAACCAGTTATTTAGACTTTGGTCTCACTATTAGTGATATAGGACGTATAAGTATCTTTATCTCAGTTTATTGGTGAAGTTCATATAGCTAACTGTGAAACAGCTACAACTAGCAGTAACCAGGTTGTCTGATGCAAAGCTAACCTTTGCAATTCCATTTAAGTCTCCTTTTTAAAGCAATGTTTAAGAAATGTTGTCCTTATTTTATATTAAAATTCCTCTTTCTATAATTCTCATCCAGTGAACTTATTTCATCTCTTTGGTACCGAAAGCTCTGTTCAAGCCTAGACTCTGTCTAAGTCCAGAAGGTAATGTGCCCAGTAAAGCAACAGGTCAAAAGCTTTTATTCAAGTCAGAAAAAATATGCAAAGACACCTACCAGACAAACTCAACAGGGCCAAGGCACTGAGAAGAAAGATGGCTGTCACCTTCATGGCTGAAGTTTTGTGTCCAGAGCTCAGCTGAAAACTGCAATGAACTTACCGCTTCTCTTCAGAACCCTTTGACTGGAAGGGTTATATAGGCAGTGGCAACTCGGGCTCCACCTGCTGCCCTGTGTCACGGGTCTCTTTGGTTATTGATTGACTTCACAGTGTAGACTGGCCCCCAGGTTGGGGTAATGTCCCCTGTGTACTAAAGCTGAAAGGAATGCCATGGGCCTGAAATGTGCAAGGCCAAGATTCAGTAGTTGCCTCTCTCCCTCGGCTCCTCTGGGATTTGGGAAGGCATTTCCTTTCCTCAGCCCCCGTTTTTTCTTCTGTTAGGTGAACTCGAAGGTCCCTTGTACTTGGTAGTTCTGGATATCTGAACAGCTGTGGATATGTTAAAAACCCTCTCCATTCTTTTTTGCTTTTCTCTTTTTTATTCTTTCTCTCTTTTTCTGTCACCCATTCACAAAGCCTAAAGTAGATGACAGGGGCACAGGTTAGAGACAGGACTCAGTTTCTTGAGAGGTGTGCGCGCACATGCTTGCCAGAGACACGTACTAGCTCTATGACATTGGAGATGTAGTGCACTTTTGCTGTGTCTCAATTTATTCATCTGAGAATTGAAATAATAATAGCACCTAACTCAAAGTGTTGACCTTTCGTTCAAAAATATGTATTGTGTCTACCATGTGTCATTGAGAAACAATTCTCTACTCTCACTCATGTTTCGCGTGTCTGGTGAACAGAGGCACTGGCCGGCTGCCTGTGCTTCAGCCCACCTTCTCAAGAGTGTTTGTATAACAAATGGCCTTGGAGAGTGTAATAGTGTCCCCTCTGTAATAAAGAGGAGGTTTGTTTATGTTTAGTGTAATGAAGATGCTCTTTCCCTCCATGGCAAAGCTTAGGTAGGCAATAGTGCACTTTTAAAAAGATTAGGGATTTTTAAAAACCTTGGCATCCTACTCTTGTCACACACTGCACTTTCTGTTCAGGTACCACTGGGCCCTCTTCACATCACACTGTGGAAGTGGGGGCTTGAGAAACTAGATCAAATGCTGACACTCTGACTGTTGCTATTGAATAATTAAGTCCCTTGTCACTGACCCAGGAGGGTAAACATGCTAGAGGATTTGGGAGACAGTTGTTATATAGATTAGTCAGAGAAAGCCTTGCTGATCAAGTGACATTTAAAAAAAATGTTTTTATTGATTTCAGAGGGAGGAAGGGAGAGAGAGAGAGAGAGAAACATCAATAATGAGAGAGAATCATCGATCAACTGCCTCCTGCATGTTCCTCTTAGGGATGGAGCCCGCAATCCAGGCATGTGCCTTGACTGGGAATCAAACCATGATCTCTTGGTTCTTGGGGCGATGCTCAACCACTGAGCCACACTGGCTGGGCTGATTAGGTGACATTTGAACAGAGACATGAAAGAAGTGAGACATTTGAACCATATGAATATCCAAGAACAAGCACTCCAGACAGAGAGAAATAATAGCAAGTGCCAAGGCCCAGAGACAGAAACTTGCTTGAGATGGAGAAATATTCAGCATAATTGTCTGGAGCAATGTGATAGAGAGAAACAGATGGTAAGATAAAGGAAGCAGTGGGGGCCTAAATAATAAAGGGCCTTTGTTTTCTGACCAAAGAGAAAGCCGTTAGAGAGTTATGGCAGAGGAATGACATATGACGCTTGTTCTAAACGGTCACTTTATCTGTTCTATGAAAATAGACCAGGAGGCAAGAGAAACTATTGTAATAGTCCAACCAAGAGATGAAGGTGAAAGTAGAAGGAAGAGGTTGATGTTGCACTTAGGTGAATTAATACCTGTGAAGTTTTTATAACAGTTTCTATCACATGGTAAACACTTGGAAATATTATTTTTATTGTTACCTTTTCAATATTTATAATGCTGTTTCGTCTAACCAGAATTCTCTTCTTTACACTTTTACTGAATAAATCCTTCCTAAGTCTTTAGGACTCAGTTTGAATGTTGTTTCTTACTGGAAATCTTCCTTAGGTCATTCTGGGCTTCCTTGGCATTTTGAGCATGCTTGTATATAACATACTAGAGGCCTGGTGCACGAAATTCGTGCACTGGGGGGGGGGGTGTCCTTCAGCCCAGGCTGCACCCTCTCCAACCTGGGAACCCCTGGGGGATGTCCGACTGCTGGTTTAAACCCGATTCCTGCAGGATCGGCCCTAAACCGGCAGTCAGGCATTCCTCTCACAATCCGGGACTGCTGGCTCCTAATCACTTGCCTGCCTGCCTGCCTGATTGCCTCTAATCACTTCTGCCTGCCAGCCTGATCACCCCCTAACTGCTCCCTGCTGGCCCGATTGCCTCCAACTGCCCTCCCCTGCAGGCCTGATCCCCCCCAACTGCCCTCTCCTGATGGCCATCTTGTAATGACATGGGGGTGGCCATCTTGTGACATGAGGGTGTGAGGGTCAATTTGCATATTACCTCTTTATTATATAGGATGACACACTGTTGAAACTCTTTGTGCATATGACTAGTTCCCCCATCTTCCATTTATGCTTCAATCTTCACATTCTAGCTTCCTCCTTTACTTCTGCTAGTGACCAGGTTGATTCATTCCTTGCAGATGCTTTAGAGCATGTGGCCTCTAACTATTCACACTTGATCACACTCAATATCATCTTTTTCCTTGGGTTTCATGACTGCACAGTCCCCTACATTCATATCTTCTCCATCCTGGTTTCCTCTCCATCCACTTTATCCAATCTTCTCACTCTAACGTGTAAAGACTTGGAGTTTCTCAAATATTGGCCCTAGGCCCTATTTATGCCTCACTTTTCATTTTCCTTAGGTGAACTCATTCATTCACATCATAAGATATATATATATATATATATATCTCCAAAATATGTATCTTTTTCCTACATCTCCTCTGATTTTCAGACTAGATATTAAGTGCCTTCTTAACAATGTGGACATCCTATAGTCACTTAAAAATTAATATTTCCTATACTGCTATTTTGATCGTCCACAACAAAAATTATTTTTAGTTGCCCCATTGCTTCTCTTTCTTCCAACTGGTTGTCAAGCCAAAACCCAAGTGTTCTCCTTGATGCTTCCCTTGGCCTTACCATGCACCATCTTCCACACTTAATTTATTACCAAGTTCTATTCTTGAATCTGTGTCCTATATAACCTCAATTCTGTACACTTATCATCACGTTACACTGTCATATCTACAAAAATGCACGTCATAATATATTCACTTGGTGTGAGAATAAACTTAGAAAAGTAAATACATATTGTGCCAAAATATTATCCTCCATTTCACCCGGAAAAATAATTGCTAGCTGTAACAATCTTCTTCCTTCCATGGGTTGGTATAATGGGCAATCCATTTAGGCTTCATAAGTTCAATGTCTTGACAGAATAATTACTGCCTGCCTTATGAGATGGAATGGGTATTGGTTGAAACAACTCTGCTCATGTGCTAGACTCTTAGTCACATTTAATGTGTTTACATGACCTAGCTTTTCATAAATCCTCCCTCTTTCTTCACTTCTCGGTGTACATATCTATGTGTGCATATCATCAGGAGCTCAGGCAAACATATTATGACCCACTCCTCTCTGTTTCAAGGACAAATTATTCACCTGAATAAAGAATGATGACAAAACTTAAGAGAACTGTTCTAATGGATGCTGATAAAACTTGCTGGAATGAGGATGTTTGTTGGGCACCTGTTGATTTTCACATCCTGTGCCCAACTTGTATTTTTATTAAAGTGTAATTGATATGCAATATTATATTCATTTCAGATGTACAACATTGATTCAACATTCATATACCTTAGATGTGATCATCATAAGTCTAGCTACCATGTTTCTCCATACACTTATTATGATATTGACTGTATTCTCTGTCTGTATGTTACATCCCTGTGACTTACTATTTTTATAACTGGAAGTTTGTACCTCTTATTCCCCTTTTACCTTTTTCAGGGGGCATGCCCAAGTTTTGACTAGTAAAGAAAAATTACAGAAACTAGAGATATGGAGGCCTAATGTATCTAGGCCTAACATTTGATATCTCTTTGACTTAGCTCTTCAATCTTACTTTTTTTATTATTTATAGAATTTTATGACTTTTCTTAATAACCCTTTTCTTCCGCTTACTCTCCAAACAGGTTCCTGTGGTTTTGCTTGTACCAATCCTTTATAGCCTGGCTAAAATATCTGGTGCTTAAATCTGTAAAATTTTTATCTCTCATTCTAGTTCATAAAGCTATCACTAAATAATTATATTAATTACATAATCATATAACTATAATTATAACCACTACTGCTAAAAATTGTCAAAAGTTTCTATGCCAGGCACTGTGGTACTTTATTTTCATTATTTTTTAATCCCCAATGCATTATTATTATTATTGCATTATTATTCCCATTTTACAAATAAGGAAACTGAAACACAGATATTTCAGTTATATTTCTGGTTACAGAGATGAAATACTGGCATATATATTTATGATACATACACATATATAAAGATATACACACAAATATACCTATATACATATATAAATGTATATATACATGTGTAGACATTATATATACATGTATATATATATATGCACTAGTATACATTCTTTGTGTGTGTGTGTATATATATGTATTATATATAATCAAATATATTGTTGGCCTAAACAGGCAGTCGGACATCCCTCTCACAATCCAGAAGTGCTGGCTCTCAACCGCTCACCTGCCTGCCTGCCTGATTGCCCCTAACCGCTTCTACCTGCCAGACTGATCACTCCTTAACCACTCCCCTGCCAGCCTGATTGACACCTAACTGTTCCTCTGCAGGCCCGGTCGCCCCCAACTGCCCTCCCCTGCCGGCCCAGGCGCCCCCAACTGCCCTTCCCTGCCAGCCTGGGTGCCCCCAACTCCTTTGCAGACCCAGTCACCCCCAACTGCCCTCCCCTGCTGGCCATTTTGTGTCCACATGGGGGCGGCCATCTTTGACCACATGAGGGAGGTCATCT